AGCACTACTATGATGAAGGAGACTGGGTCGATTACCATCGCCCTACGACAACGAAGGATGATTGGGGAGGCTGGAACGGCCCGCTCCCAGTTGTAAAGAATGATCCCGAAAGGGGTCAGGTCATCATCCGAGTGGGCAATCGAATTGTTCAAGTACAATACGGCGATGCAAGGCATTCGTTATATCTTGAAGCACTCATAGCCCGAGAGATTGGCTCCGACGACACTGCGCTACGCACAGTGTTAAATTTTCGTAGCCAGCCTATCAGCGGGGAGACCTGCTTTGACCTTTGGCTATGTGCCGACCGAACGGGGCGCTTCAGATGGCGACTGCAAGCAGTCTATCTCCTGAGGTACACTTGGCTCTACAGTTCCTTATCGGAAGCTTCTTTCGCATTCAGAATGTAGTTTCAGTCAGATTAGCCAAGAGTATCCATAATCTACATGCGGTTACTTATGCCGACAGCTGCACATTGGTCCATTACGACAGCGACGTGACTCCATGATTTCACCATTGCGACGCAGAAGGTACTGCTCGTAATATACACGATATAACTGGATCAGTACGTTCACGAATTATCCAATGCCTGAAGTCCACTAAACCTTAAGCAGGTTTTGATCAGGACATGTCAAACACTGAAGAAGTGGCAGATACACCGACGCCGGAAGGAACCGCAATATAAGCCTCAGAAGCCGAACCATCATATGATGACGGACGGCTCTCTACGATTTACGAAGAATCAGAGGCTGATATCGAGTCGCATGTTATGGGCGTGTGGTATTTAGATCTACAAGAGGAAGGGGAACTGTTGGAGGCAACTCCACCAGAGGACCACTTTTACCAGATGGTTCCAGATCAAAGCGTGCTGATCACTGTAGCTGATGAACAGCTGGGACACCTGCCGAAGTGGGGGCGCACTAACGACTCCGATACCGAGGAGACGTACTACGCCCCCATGTGCACCATGGTCGAAGACCACAGCTACGGAGTCGACTCAGACGAAAGTGGTCGATATGTCGAGCTATCCTTTACGGTAGAAGTGTAGAAGGTCGTCTTGTCCGAGCAACAGCACATGATATTAGATGCCGACTTCGTGACCGCTATGCGAGCATACGTCACCGCCGCTGCAAAGCGAGCTGCGGTCGTCAAGGAAGACGACCTCCTCGCTAAAGCTGACATTCAGGCGAATCTCGATAAAGTATCGAAGGCCCTCTACACTGAACTCAAGATGCAGGAGATAGCCGAAGCGTCGAACATCGTGACTTCGAGACACGTGTACACATGGAAGTTCGTGAGGAACGAGAAGGGCGAGCTGGAACGTATCATTCGACTACGCTTGGTTCTCCGAGGTGTCATGGACCTTGAAGCTTTCGACGTGGGAACAGTTTCGGGAACGGCGAGACGGCCCAGCCAGAGGTTACTCGCTAGCAAGGCAGCGTGCAAGGAGCAGTGGATCATTGCTTCCCTCGACATGAACATGGCCTTCCTGACGGGATTGACCTATCGGGAACTTGCTGAGGCTACTGGTGAAAAGGAACGTGTGGTGTGTTTTACGTTACCGCCTGGATCGGCCACAGTGCTCCGGACTCTCCCAGGGTTCGAGCACTACGACGAGTCAAAGCACTGCCTGCAGTGCTTGAAACCAGGCACAGGCACTAAAGACGCTTCACGGGCTTTCTCACAAAAGCTCAGGAGGGCCACGAGAGGATTTGGTCTCCGACCCACTTCCTACGGCGAGGAGTTCGAGTCGAGCAACACCTTGCTCACGGCCAAGCATGTTGATGACATTAATATGGTCGGTACTGAGAACACCATTGACAAAAATGTCAAATGCGTTGAAGATACCTCTGGTAAGTGTAAACTCAACAGGCGCACATATACCAAGTGTGCTGTGATTGGCACCGAGGACGAGGACGGCAATGTCACTTTGGATCATGATGAATATATCACACAGTTCCGTCCTATACAACATCTCAAACTAACCGGCGCCGACGCTGACGCTCAGGCAACCAAGATGGTGGCAGACATGTTCGTCAGCCTCAGGGGTGCGCTGGCATGCGCACTAATCACCCAGGTGTGGTTGGCGGTGTATGTTGTTTCACTACAACGTGTCCGAGAACCGACCAACATTCAAGTACGACGACTGAGCGCGATCACCAGAAAGCCACAGGCCTGCCCGAAGAAGATCGTCTACCAGGCGATGATCCCCACGGGCGAGGTCGACCTTCATAGCGACTCAGGATATCGACGCCTGAGTGGAGACGCTGACGATGCCGTCGAAGGCGATGGTGTTCGCGGGGCAAACCTGCTACGACGTGGAAACACGTCATCTGGTGAGCTTGTCGTTCGCTTGATTGATGCGTACTGCAAGTCTCACCGCTTGCAGGCCCGCTCGAGTTATTCAGCAGAGACACTAGCAGCAGCCCGTAATTTGGAGGACTGTTATCCCACGATTGTGACCCTGCACGAGCTCCACGCGGGGCCGCAAACGCCGACTCATTTGAAATATATACTTGAGAGGGGTGGCCTGAGCATCAAGGTCACTTTGACCATCGATGCTGAGTCTTTTTTGAAGTCCTTGTCAAGCAAAGACTTGAAGAATCCGACTGGGTGTACCCTTTTAGGGCACATCAGTTGGATGCGACAGTCGATGGAGCGTGGCATCGTGCACAGCATTCAGTGGTGTGATACCCGCGATATGACTGCGGATGGCCACATCAAGGGGGGCATCGACAGAGAAATGCTCCCACAAGTCATGGGAGGTATACAGACCTTCAAACATGACCTTAAGAGACATACTCCATATCGGGCCGGCCAGACATCAAGTTCTGACGCCGCCTGATGAGTGCGTCATATACATGCGAGGCAACTTGCTAGTGGGTCCACCTTCCTTTAGGCCCGCTCCCTTTACTGCCACTTGTGTATGTTAGCTGCTATGCCTGCTATAAAGGGGCGACGGGCTCACGCTTCGTCTCCCTCCCCCCCGACTCTAAAGCGAGCTGGGGGACGTAAGGAGTGGAAGCGAGCGTGCGCCCGCGGCCGCGCCGGCTTAAGCGGCCGGCCGCCCAAATATGATTGTGATGTATTGCGAGGCGCACAATCGCTATCGAGACCAGAAGGATCTTCCTATTGCTTGAGATGGCATCTCCTCTCATACTTGGACTATCGTTACTACGGTGCAACAGAGTTGGAGCTTGGCTTCGCCTGAGGCGAAGCTGTTGGCTGGGCTTTCCAGCCCCCTTCAAACTCTTGGGGCGTCTTGGAGGCACTTTTGGGCGTCTTGGGACGATGTTTCGGCGGCTCGGGGACATCTTGGACAGTTTTGGAGGTTTCTCGGCTTCGTGGACCGTTTTGAGGCCCTCGATCCCCCCCCGGCAGAATTTTTGGAGCAAAGCAACCCCCCCCGGCCGGCGGCCCGGCCAGCCCAGATAGCCCCCCCCCCCATCCAAATCGACCGGACCAGGCTCCCACAGGAGGGGTCTGGGGAGGGGGACGCGTCTCACGCGCCGATGAACCCCAAGGGGTCGGCGGACTCGGCACGTGGCAGCGCCCGAGAGGAGGAAAGAAACCAATGTGATTCTAGTCGCCACGTGGCATTGCAGCGCGGCGGAAAACATACTAGTCTTCTACACTCGCCCACGCAGCGGGCGGGAAAAAACACGATTCCTCTTTATTCGTCACGCCGCAATGCCCGGGCGGTCAAACACGTTTCTTTTTAATACACGCCAAGCTGCCACGCTGCCAACCGAACAACCTACAATTTCACTCGACTTTGGCGGAACGGGGCAAAACACATTCCATGCGTCTCGACTCATCACGTGTGGCAGCGCCGGGGGAGCGGAAAAATCACCATGCCACTTCACTCGATATGTGGCAGCACTAACGGGGTGACACAAGGCGGTGCCAGTCTAGTCGCCACATTGAAGTACATACAAGCGTACAGTGTTCGCCAACGCGGCGGGCGGAAACCATACAATTTTACTAGATATTCCAAGTGGTCGCGCTGAGGGTCGGACAGCACACCATTCCACTCTACTTGGGGGCGAAGCAAAGCATGATTTCATTACATTCGCCAAGTGGTAACGCAACGTGGCAGGAACACCGCTTATTCTACTTTATTCGATGCGTGTGGCAATGGCTGGAAAAAACGACCGTGCTTGTCTATTCCGTATGTAGCAGCACCCGAAGGATGAATCAATACAATTCTATTTTGATCGCCACGTCGGAAAACGAACTGCCTGGCTGTCCTCACCGACGCAGCGGGCCGAACAGGAAATAGTTTCATTTGAGTGCTGGGGGAGGAGGAGGCTCATTTCAGCCCCGCAGAAGGACTCGAGTGCGGGGGAGGTGGGGGCCCCATCACACGGGAAGCAACAACCATTCGAGTGCCCAGAGGGGGGGGGCATGACGGACCAATCGCAACCCATTGGTACCAACTCCAACCGCCCGTGTAAATTTTCAATCGGCCGAAAAGCCGACTAGTACCGATTGCAATGGGCCATTTGCAGCCGTACAATCGAATTATGATTGTGGAGCGTTGTGAGACTACGATGTTGCTTGCTTCCATCTGGGATTTGTGTAGTTTTGAAGAGTAGAAACGATCACCACTTTTGTTGGAGCTCGACTGATACCATGTGAGAACTTTTTGAGCTATGGCACGATAGTTGTACAAAAGGTTTAGCATCATTTCGTTTCCATGTGATTCGTGTGTACCTTTCAAGTGGGAGTTGTGAAGGTTCCATCAGCGAGCAGCACAGTACTCAAAAGTGAAGTGTCCGAGAAGTCTTGCAAGCCTTCTCCGATGATTCAGACGGCCTCTGAGAAGGCGCGAGGACTTCTGAGACACCCCGCCTCTGAAACAGCCTGCCCCCTCTAACGTTGGCCACCAGTTGCGGGTCATAGCTCGGCTCTCTGGCGGCCGTTCGGGACGACCCACGCACCCCCGAAACGCTCTCGGCGAGGCGCGGCTATTGGAACGCACCCCGAGGCCAGAAAACTAGGGACCTTACGAAAATGCCAGAAAACTTGCCACCTCGAATCCGATAACTCCTGGACTTCCCCCCCTGAGGGTTGCCGCCGAGCATCGGCCGCCCGGTGGTTCATAAAGAGGGGGTACTGAGGGATGGTGTCCTCAGGACAGGAAGGGATCCAAGGGTGGATTCAGATTGTTTAAGTCACTTCGTCCTCAGGACCCCACCCCTCAGGACCTCATCTGTGGCCCGCCGAGCGGAGGCGCACGACGGCGGCGGCGACCTGCCGGGGGGGCCGCCAATGGATGCGGGGCGGGTGGCCGCGGCGCTGCGGGCGGTCATCGGGCTGCGGGTGCCGCCCGAGACTCTCGGCTACCTGGCGGAGGTGCCCAGCTGGCCAGGGGAGGAGGGGAAGGGAGGGGGAGAGAGGGGAGGGGGTGGGAGGGAGGGAGGGAGGGAGGGAGGGAGGGAGGGAGGAGGAGGTGGAGGTGGAGGAGGAAGCGGACCAGTGTAAACCCAAGAGTAATCAACGATGTTGCGATAAACCCTCCCTCCGAACTCCCTCTTCATAGGCCCCTACAGGGGTCCATTTCCACAGGGACCTGCTTCGTTGGAAGACAACTGTTTGCAAACCCTGAAGCATGCCAAAACATGGATTTCGGGATTCCATCGCCAGGGATCAATTTGATTGTTGCGTCTTGACAGTCCTGAACCGTACCAGAACGCCATTTCTTGGACGTCATCAGCGCGAACCAACGTAATTGTTGCACCCTCATAATCCTGAATCCTTCCAAAACGCCATGTATGGTACGGTGACCGTGGGAAGCCGTGAAACTCTTGCAGATGTTTGAAACGAATGTGCGCTGCGCTAGGGGGGGAGCCACATTTTGAAAACGGGTCGCCCTCAATCCGTGAACATTTGCAGGCTTTGAAACGAATGTGCGTTGCGCTGAGGCGAGAGTCACATTTAAATAATGGGTCGCTCTCAATCCGTGAACTCTTGCAATTTTGCAAGTGAATGTGCACTGCGCTAAGGCGAGAGCCACGTTTTGAAAACGGGTCGCCATCAATCTGTGAAACGCTTGCGAATTTGTAGCACGAATGTGCGCGGCGATCAGGCGAGAGTCACATTTTTTAAGCGCCCCGCCCTCAAACCGTGAAGCTCCGGGATTTGTTTGAACGAATGTGCGCTGCGCTAAGGCGAGTGACACATTTTGAAAATGGCCCGCCCCCAATCCGTAAAGCCCTTGTGCAAATTTTTAGAACGAATGTGCGCGGCGCGAAGGCGAAAGCCACATTTTGAGAACGACCCACCCTTCATGTGTGAAATTGTTGCATAAATGGTGAGGACGTCTCAGGCGAAACGCCCGGCCCGTCTTAAAAACTTACTTAGGGGTGCGACAGGGAGAAGTTATTTAGAAAGAGAAGAAATGGAGGACCAGTGTAAACCCAAGTCTCATCAACGATGTTGAAAGACGCCCAAAGTCAAGGATCCTTCGTTCATAGGCACGTATTAAAAGGGGTCATTTCCACTCCATTCCAGCTCCGTGCCGAGCAGTCGCACCTCCATTCCAGCTCCGACTCCTGCTCCGACGCTGGCCCCGACTCCAGCTCCTACCCCACCGACTCCGACCTCCCAACGGATGAATTCAATGCACGACCCTGGCGCAGGGAGTTGCGCTGCTGGGCCCATGGCGCACCGGTACCACTACCCGTGCCCGTCACCTTGCAGCCTCCACCCTGCATGGGGAGGGCTACTAACAATCTTCATCGTGGTTCCGATTGTCTTCATCAGCCGTAGCACCAGCAAGATGGGCAGGGAGATCTTGATACCGGTGCCGGGGTACGACAGGATGATGGCGATGGCGTGATCCGCTCTCTTGCAGGCCCCCTCCTTTGCGTTCCTCTTCCTCCGTCCCCTCCTCGTTGCCTGGGTGCCCGGGCTCTCCCAGTTCTTAGTTAGTGGATCTGGCCTGGTTCTCCTGCGGGGCAGGTGATCCTTGCTTCCTAATACCCCTTTGTGTTTCACTTGTCCTCCTCCTCCTCCCCCTCCTCCTCTTCGCGTGGCGCTACGCTGTCCTGCTCACCTTGTTGTGTCGACGACGGAGTGGACGCGGAAATCTGCAGTCCAGCTTCCCCGCTTCCCCGCCGAGGTAGGGTTCACTCTGGCGCGAAGAGGCGAATGGTGTCAAAGCTGAGGTAGTCAGATGTTTAGCGGTGAAAAAAAAAGGGGTCATTTCCACTGAGGAACTTGCCCCGTTGGGGGCCAACCGTGTTAACTTTTTTGAGCGCGCCCGAACACCATTCCCAGGAGTTCATGGCGATCCTGAATCGTTGCAGAAAGCCATTGTTGGGACTTTGACACCGCGAGTCAACGTAACTGTCGCGCCCTGAACCGTGAATCGTTCCGCAGCACCATATATGGTACGTTAGCCATGAGAGTCAGTGACGCTCTTGCAAAACAACTGCACGTGGCGCTGAGGCGAGAGCCACAGTTTGAAAACGACCCGCCATCAATTGGTGGAGCCCTTACAGGCTTTCAGAGAAATTGCGCACTACGCTAAGGCGAAAACCACATTTTGAAAACGTGCCGCCCTCAACCCGTGAAGCTCTTTTAACCGTTTCAAGAGAATGTGCGCTGCGCCAAGGCGAGAGTCACATTTTTTAAACGCCCCGCCCTCAATCCGTGAATCTCTAGCAGCTGGTTAAAGCGAGTGTGCGCTGCGCTAAAGTGAGAATCGCATTTTGAACATGACCCGCCTTCACCCCGTGAAGCATTTGCAAGTTTTACATAATGAATATTCTCGGTGCCAAAACGATATCCAGGTTTTGCAAGCCGCCCACTTTCAGTCCGTGAAGTTATCACGGGCTTTGAAAGTGAATGTGCGCTGCGCTAAGGCGGGTGCCACATTCTGAACAGGTCCCTCCCCCAGCACGTGAAACTCTTGCATTTGTTCGAAGGAAGTGTGCGCTGCGGTGATGCGAGAGTCTTATTTTGAAAACGACCCGCCCTCAATCCGTGAAGTTCTTGCCAGTTTGAACGAAATGATTGTGCGCGGCGCGGAGACGAGAACCACGTTTTGAAAACGTCCCGCCTTCCATGTGTGAGACATTGTCAGTTTGTAAGCATCAGGGTCATAAGTGGTGAGGAAGTCTCTGTTGAAACGCGTCGCCCGCCCTTTCGAAGGGCCCTGGGGTGCGAAAGGGGGGTGCATGTATAAGGGCAAGGAAGGGAGGAGAAGGAGGAGGAAAAGGAGGAGGATGAGGAGGAGGAGGAGGAATAGGGTGAGGGAGGGGGAGGGAGGAGGGAGGGAGAGCGGGGAGAGGGAGAAAGGGAAGGAAAGGGAGGAGAAGGTAATGGCATATATATATATATATATATATATATATATATATATATATGTATGGATGTATGCATGTTTTCATGTATGCATGTCTGCGTGTATGGGTGCGTGTATTGTATGTATACATGTACGTATGCATGTATGCATGCATGCGTGCATGCATATGTGTATTTGTGTATAAATAGATGCATGTATGAATGTGTGTATGCCTGTATGTACGTTTTCATGTATGTATGTATGTATGTATGCATGCATGTATGTATGTATGTATGTAGACAGGTATGCCCGTACGTGTGTCTGGGTTAAGTATGTATGTATGCATGTATGCATGCATGTAGGTAGGTAGGTAGGTCGGTAGGTAGGTATGTGTGTGCATGCGTGTATGTGTGTATGCATGGATGTATGTATGCGTGTATGCATGTCCTCATGCATGCATGTAAGTATGTATGCATGTATGCATGCATGTATGTCTGGGGCCAGGGGTCGGCCCAGGCTCCCCTTTCAAAGGGGGGGGCTTCCGAAGCTACCCCCCATCCTTTTTTATTTGGATATTGTAGCTGGGGGATCCCTGGCTAAGGGGGGGGGGGCTTGGAATCCCCCCCCCCCCTCCTCTGCGGGGCCCCGGGTAAGCCCAGGCTCCCCTTTCCAAAGCGGGGAGGGGCTTCCGAAACTGCCCCGGCCCTCCCCTTCTTCTTTTGCATTGAAGGAGGGTTGCGAAACTACTTTTTATTTTTGGTTTTCGGCGCCCCCTTGGTTTGCGACGAACTTGTGGTTTTCGATGTCTCTTTGGTTCTCGGCGCCAGTTTTGTTTTCGGCGCGTTTTGGGCCTTTGGCGCTTCCTTGGTTTTCGGCGCTCCTTTAGTTTTCGGCGCTCCTTGGGCTTTCGGCGCTCATGTGGTTTTCGGCTCTCCTTTGGTTTTCGACGCCTTTTTTGGTTTTCTGCGCACCCTTTCTATGGTGTTCGGCGCATCGTTGGTTTTCGGCGCCATTTCGGTTTTCGGCGCTCCTTTGGTTTTCGGCGCCCTCTTGGTTTTCGGCGCCTTTTTGGCTGTCGGCGCTCCTTTGGCTTTCGGCGCCGTTCTGGTTTTCGGCGCGCTTTGGTTTTCGGCGCCCCTTTGGTTTTGGGAGCCGTTCGGTATCTGCGCGCCTTTCGTTTTTTCGCCCTTTGGCTTTCGATGCCCTTTTGGTAATCGGCGCGTCGTTTGTTTTTCGGCGCCTTTTTGGCTTTCGGCGCATCGTTGGTTTTCGGCGCTCCTTTGGTTTTCTGCGCCCTTTTGGTTATCGGCGCCACTTTGTTTTTTCGGCGCCCTTTCGGTTTTCGTCGCATCTTTGGTTTTCGGCGCTCCTTGGGTTTTTGGCGTTTGTTTTGATTTTCGGCCCCCTTTGGGTGTTCGGTGCCCCTTTGGTTTGCGACGCCGTCTTGGTTTTCGGTGCTCCTTTTGTTTTCGGTGTCCTGGTGTCCTTTTGGTTTCCGTCGTACCTTTGGTTTTCGGCGCACCTTTTTGAGTTCGGCGTTTTGTTAGTTTTCGTCCTCGTTCTGGTTTTCTGGGCCCCCGTGGTTTTCGGCGCTTTTTTGGTTTTCGGCGCCCTTTCGGTTATCGGCGCTTCTTTGGTTATCGGCAGTGTTTTGGTTTTCTGTGCCATTTTGGTGTTTGGCGACCCTCTGGTTGTTCGGTCTCTGCTGGTTTCGGCGCCCATTTGGTTTCTGGCGTCCTTTTCAAGTTCGGCGACCCTTTGCTTTTTGGCGCCATTTTGGGTTTCGGTGATTTTTGGTTTTCGGCGCCCTTTTGGTGTTCGGTGCTGCTCTGGTTTTCGGCGCTCTTTTGGTTTTCGGCGTCTCCTTGGTTTTTGGCGCACCGCTGGTTTTCGGATCCTTTTTGTTTTCGGTGCGTCTTTGGTTTTCCGCCTTCGTTAGGTGTTCGGCGCCTTTTGGTTTTCAGCGCACCTTTGCTTTTTGGCGCTCTCTTTGTTTTCGGCGCTCCTTTGGTTTTCGGCGCCGTTTTGGTTTTCGGCGCTCCTTTGGTGTTCGGCGCCCTGTTTGGTGTTCGGCCCTCTTTTGGTTGTGGGCGCTCCCTTGGCTTTCGGCGCCCCTTAGATTTCCGGCGCTCCTTTCGTGTTCGGCGCACTTTTGGTTATCGGCGCCATTTTGTTTTTTTCGGCGCCCTTTTGGTTTTCGTCGCATCTTTGGTTTTCGGCGCTCCTTGGGTTTTTGGCGTTTCTTTTGATTTTCGGCGCCCCTTGGGTGTTCGGTGCCCCTTTGGTTTTCGACGCCGTCTTGGCTTTCGGTGCTCCTTTGGTTTTCGGTGTTCTTTTGGTTTTCGGTATCCTTTTGGTTTCCGGCGTATCTTAGGTTTTCGGCACACTTTTTTGAGTTCGGCGTTTTGTTAGTTTTCATCCTCGTTTTTTTTTTCTGCTCCCCTTGGTTTTCGGCGCTTCTTTGGTTTTCGGCGCCCTTTCGGTTTTCGGCACTTCTTTAGTTATCGGCGATGTTTTGGTTTTCTGTGCCATTTTGGTGTTTGCCGATCCTTTGGTTGTTGGTTCTGTGCTGGTTTCGGCGCCCATTTGGTTTCTGGCGTCCTTTTCAAGTTCGGCGACCCTTTGCTTTTTGGCGCGATTTTGGGTTTCGGTGATTTTTGGTTTTCGGCGCCCTTTTGGTGTTCGGTGCTGCTCTGGTTTTCGGCGCTATTTTGTTTTTCGGCGTCTATTTGGTTTTTGGCGCACCGCTGGTTTTCGGATCCTTTTTGTTTTCGGTGCGTCTTTGGTTTTCTGCCTTCGTTAGGTGTTCGGCGCTTTTTGGTTTTCAGCGCACCTTGCTTTTTGGCGCTCTCTTTGTTTTCGGCGCTCCTTTGGTTTTCTGCGCCGTTTTTGTTTTCGGCGCTCCTTTGGTGTTCGGCGCCATCTATGGTTTTCGGCCCTCTTTTTGTTGTCGGCGCTCCTTTGGCCTTCGGCGCCCCTTAGATTTCCGGCGCTTCTTTGGGTTTCGGTGCTCCTTTGGTTTTCGGCACATCTTTGGTTTTCGGCACCGTTTTGGTTTTGGATGCCCTTTCGATTTTCGGCGTTTTTTTGGTTGTCGGCGCCCTTATGGTTTTCGCGCCCTTTCGGTTTTCGGTGGCGCTTTGGTTTTCGGCGCTGTGTTGGTTCTCGGCGCTCTTGTGGTCTTCGGCGCTCCTTCCTGTAGCCAGGGGGAGGGAAGGCTTCCGGCAGGGGAGGTTCAAGGGGGGGGGTAGCTAAGCCCCCCCCCTTTGGAAATGGAGAGGGGGAGGGTAGCTTCCAGAGCACGAAAGGGGGAGGAGGGCGGGGTTGTTTCCGAGGGGCGGAAAAAACGAGAGGGGGGGGGCTCCAGCAGGGGAGGTTCATGGGGAGGGAGGAGCTAAGCCCCCCCCCCCCTTTGGACAGGGAGGGGGGTAGCTTCCAGAGCGCGAAAGGGAGGGGGGATAGCTTCCGCGGGGCGCGAAAAAAAAGGGGCTTCTGGCAGGGCAGGTCCAAATGGGGGGTAGCTAAGGGGTGTGTGTCCCCGTGTGGGAGGCGCCGCGGGCGCGCTCTCTCATGTACATGTATGTATGTATGTATGTACGTATGTCCGTCTGTCTGTGTATATATATATATATATATATACATATGTATATACATAATATACCTATACGACCACCCTTCGGGTGATAAGGAGGTTCGGGGGGGGAGGAGGAACCAACGTGTCATTCGATCGGTCTCACTATCGATCTCACGATCGATCTCATTATCGGTCTCGCGCGATCGATCTCACTCGATCGATCTCACAATCGATCTCACTCGATCTATTTCATTCGATCGTTCTCACAATCGATCTGATTATCGATCTCGCCATCGATCTCACTATCGATCTCAGTACCGATCTCGCAATCTATTTCACATTCGGTCTCACAATCGATCTCACAACCGATCTCACAATCGATCCCACAATTGATTTCACAATCGAAGTCGCCATCATTATTATCAGCATCGTCGTCATCAGCGTCATCAACATCACCATCATGATCATCGGGGCACAATCATCATCACCTCATCACCATCATCATCATCATTATCATCATTATCATCATCATCATTATCGGGACACCATCATCGTCACCATCACCATCATCAACATAATCATCATCGGGACACCATCATCATTATCGTCATCATCATCATCGGAACACCACCATCATCTTCATCACCATGATCTTATCAACATCAGGAACAATATAATCATCAACATCACCCGGACACCATCATCATCAGCAACATCGTCATCAACAACATCATCTTCATCGGGACACCATCATCATCGTCATTATGGTCATCATCACCATCAACATCATCGGGACACCATCATCATCAACACCAGCATCATCATCATGGGGGCACCATCATCAAAATCAGCATCATCACCGCATCATTTTCCTCATCATCACCATCCTCATCATCGGGACACCTTCATCGTCATCATAATCAACATCACCAACAGCATCATCATCGGGACACCATCTTTATCATCACCATCATCGTCATCAGCATCATCATCATCAACCTCATCATAGTCATCGGGGCACCACCATCATCATCTTCAGCACCATTATCATCTCATCATTTATCGGCATCATAATCATCAGGATCATCAACATCATCATCATCACTGCGACGCCATCATCATCATAAACACCATCATCATCAGCATCATCATCATCGGGGCACCATCATCATCACCACCATGGCCATCAGCATCATCACCATCATCATCATCGGGACACCATCATCGTCACCATCATAATCATCATCATTATTACCATCATCAGGACACCATCATCATCACCATCATCATCAGAACACCACCACCATCATCAACGTCACCTCCTCATCATCATCATGAACAACATCATCAACACAATTGTCGTGATGTCACGGGTTTCTGATGCTCTCTTTGGACCGCCGCCGTTTGGGTTGCTCAAATCTTGAGTATGTGGGAGAGGCTCACCAACCATGCCCTGGCTGGGGTAATCCCCTACCTGACCAGGTGCCCGCAGGTGCCGTCATGCCCCCCGTGCCCGACCTGCCACCTGGCGTGCGGTGCGCCTGACGCCTGCCCGAGCTGCTCGCTGCAGTGCCCTGCTATGACACCCTGCGCGGGAGCGGCGCCCGTCAGCTGCCCGGCGGCTGCCCCTTGCCGGGCGTGCGGCTGCCCGGCGCGCGCCCCGTGCGCGGTGTCCGCACCCTCGCCTGGCTCTGCCGCGCCGGACGCCGCCCCTGCGAGTGCGGCTGGCAGTGTGGTCGCCGACGCGGTGGTCGACGCGCGTGCGCTGGCCTCGGCGCTGGTGGGCGGCGCGGTCGGCTTCGTGTTCGCGGCGGTCTGCTTATGGGGCTGCTGCGCGGTGCTCAGGAGGGGCGCCCGCCCCTGCTGCCGCGGCTTCGCTGGTCTGGACGATGGCGGCAGTCGCGAGGACGCGATGGGTGTGCGCTTTTTGGGCCGGGTGGCGTTGGCGGAAGCTGATCGCGTCATCTATGCGGCGGACGGTGATCTGTGCATGGTCGCCCCCGCCAACGACCCAGATGTGCAGGCGGCCAGGTTCGGCAGCCTCGATCCCCCGCCGCCTGGGATCGCGGCCAACCAGGTGTACAGGTTCCGCGCTGAGCCTACGGGCGCCGAGCTAGCGCAGCTGACGCTGGAGGCGGAGCAGGTGGCGAGTGGCGAGTGCCGTCGACGAGCTCAGGCGGTGGGCAACCTGGGTTTGCTCACCTACCTGCGGCCGCTGGTGACGCCTGTGGGCGGTCTCGCGGTGGTGCCTGTGGCTCCAGCTGGTCCCGCCTCGGGCTTGCTGAGGGGCGCCGTGCCCGCTGGGGGCGGCCCCGCCGCTGGCGACCCGGCGGGCGCGTGGCGCGCCGCGGCCTGCGAGGTCGGCTACCGCGTCGGCGACGAGGTGCCTGGCCACATACCGACGGCGGCCCGCATCCAGGACAGGGACATCCACGTGCTGCCCGACGGCCAGGGGCTGTTCGCCGAGCTGGTGCCGCCAGCAGCGCTGGAGTCATTCTTGCGCAAGGCGGTCGACGCGGACGCGAGGGCCCTACCGATCGTTCGCGATGCGCAGGGCCGTCGAGACGCGCCGTGGAACAAGATGGTGGAGATGGTGCGCCAGGAGGACTTCGGATCGGACTGGGTGCTGCCTGGGCCCCGGGACGCTGTGTGGCGCATGAGCTACCTGCAGCGCGAAGGCCTCGGCATCGAGGGCCACCGCGAGCGCTTCCGTCAGATCTGCAAGCTGGGTGCTACCGACTGGGGCGTCCAAGAGCACTGCCAACTGTGCCAGCAGATCAAGGCCGCCACGTGTCAGGACCTCCAGGGTGGCACGAACTTGATCAGCATCGAGATGAAGTTCAGGAGGCTCCATACAATGGAGTTTGCTCGCTGGGACAAGGCTATAAGGGCGCCGAGAGCAAGGGCGTTGGAGGCAAGATGAGTCTGGAAGAGCAGGCCGCGTTCTCGGGGATCTCCCGATCCACGTCTTCAGTGATGGTCTCGCCCGACCTGATCGAGCGCGTGTGCGGTGACGTGGAGGAGGAGGCGAAGCTGCGCGAGAGTCTGCGCCCGGCTCGTGAGGAGCGGGGGTCCAGGCGCAAAAATGGCAGAGACCGCTACTCGCCTTGGCTTCGGAGGGGGGGCCAATGCGCGATCATAACCCCTTCCGTCAGGGTCCACGCGGCGCGCCCGCCATCGCTCAGGACGTCCGCGATTTTGAGGGACATCGGCCCCGGGACATCTTTCCACTGCCGTGCCCGCCTGCCGCCGAGCCGCTGGATAAGGCTGCTGCTGCTGCGCTGGCCAGAGGCGCGCGGATGAGGCTGGGGAAGAGGATCGCTGTCTGTAACGATGTGTTCCGCGCCGTGGACTCTTTGCATTGGCTTCATGATTCATCGTCGACGTGTGGTCGTGACCGAAATGCAAGATGCGTGGGCCCGTCGCTTGCTCAGAGCCCGTGCCGCGCTCGCATCGATGAGTCGGTTCGGTATCTTGGTGCTCCGCCGTCTTCTCTTTCCCCCGCAGAAGCGCAAGTGCAGCTTCGCGTGGCCGGGGGCGCCTGCGCTGTCGAACAGTCGCCCCTCGGGAGCTACGGCCCCGCGCTCCTCTCCTTGCCGGGCGTCAGTTCCGCCCCCGTGCCGCTGGCCGACGCGCGGGGGAGGATGGGCGCGAGTTCAGGACCCGACGCTACGCCGAAGGGGGCCCAGAGCGGCAGCAAGGCGACGCCGAAGGCCCGGGCCAGCAGCAGCAGCAGCACCAGACCACCGCATCCCCAGAGAGCAATCACATGCACCGACGCAGCTACGCGCCCGACGTGGACGTGCGGCTTGTGTGGCGACGCGATCACGGTATCTGTCAACGCCGTGCCCCACGCTTTGGGATGGAGTTGGAAGGGCAATGGGAATGAACATGTCAGGAATGCACGGAAAGTCCACCCGAACTACCACATCACCCACGAGCGGGCAAAGCACCTTCGGAAATGGCACCCTGGGGAAAACTGGCAGGACGCTGGTAATTACCGACCTTCAGCGGAAGTGCCGTTACTGTCCCACGACGTTCCTGACGACAAGGTCGCATGGGCGTGCCCAGTGTGCGACATCCGCCAGCCTTTCTCGAAAAACATAGTTTCCTATAAGAAGATCCTGCGGGAACGCCGGCTGAAGGAGCACCCCGAGTACGACGACCAACATTGGCGGTGCCTGGTTTTAAGGGCAACTATGCGGAAGATGTCACCCGGCGGCATGTTGGAGACACGGTGTCAGCGGGACAAGCGGGCCAAGAGCCAAGTAGTCCTGCCTCCGCTGCCTGCCCGCCAGATCCGGCCCCGAGAAGAGCGCTCGCGCCGAAAGCGGGGGGCGCGGGAAAGGAAGAAAGCAGCCGGGCGCTGCTGAGGCGGAGCCAACCGCCACGACGACCAATCCCACATCCGTCCTGTCTCCTCTTCCCATTCCCCCCTCCCCTCCACTGTCTGTGGGATGTGCTGCGTCAGCCGGACTACAAAGGGCAGGCGCGACCAACGCACCAATGAAGATGGGAACGATCAGTATCGCATCTTGGGCACAGCGTGGCAAGGGCCTTCTTGCTACCGCCGAGGAGCTGGAACTGGAGTTGCTGGTATTGCAAGAGCATGGGTGCCGGCGTGCAGACATGCCCAGGGCAGGCGAGCTCGCTGCTGTCCACGGGTGCGTATGGACGAGTGGAACCTCTTGTGACGACCGTGTGGTGGGTGCCAGGAGGAGTGGTCGAACGCGAGGCGAATGTGGTGGCATCGGTGTGCTGGCGACGGGCCGCGTCAGGGTCACCCGGGTCGCGTCTGAGCACCGGGCGGGCACTGGGGGGGCGGAAGCTGGGGGCGAGGGTGCTATCTTTCATCCGCGCCGCTCATCGTACAGCACTGTTGGCTGTGGTGCACTTGCGAGCGGCCGACGACGACGACGCGCGGCATGGCATGCTACAGTGGGTGGCAGAACAGCGCGCTGCGATAAGAGGGGGGGTCCCACTTCTGATCGCTGGCGACTACAACGCTACGCCGGAATATCCCATCATTACCGAGCCTGCACGGGTACTGGGGCTTCGGGTCCAGAGCCCAGGAGTGTCCACGAGGTGGGCATCGAGCCGGGAGATCGACTATTTCATGGTCACGAAAACTATGGCAACTATCAGGGCGGTGGCGAATGCACATGCACTCTCTGGCCATATGGTGGTGACAATGGGTGTGCAGGTCGACGCTCCACAACCTACTACGGGATGCTCATGGCGGCGCGCGGCGCGGCACGGTGCGCTGAAACTGACTCAAGACGCAGCGCGAGCAGACGCACAAGGCGCCGCAAACACGACCACGACGCAAAGCACGAAAACAACGCAGCACGACCCACAACAACATTCAGCACACGATCACGGCGCAGACGCAGCACCACGCAGCACGCCCACGACGCAGCGCGAGTTCACCCACAACGCAGCACCACCGACCCATGGGGACATCGTGAAGGGCCTGGCTGCCCAGTGGAGGGCTCTACCAGCTTACGACATCCAGGGTGGCTCCGTGGGCGCGTGGTGGGCGGACTGGAGTGCGCGAGCAGAGGCAGTGCTGCAATCCCAACCCGCGGTGGTCCTGACCAAGGGCGCTGTCCCTAAATCTGAGTTCTCGTTTGCTCAGTGGGAGCGAAGGGAGAAAGACGAACCCGGCACGCACGGCAACTGCGGCAACTCATCCAGGGGCTCCGGTCCCCGCCGGCACGGCGAGGGCGGAAAGCAGCTGGGAAGATAGCACAGTGGGAACGGCAAAATCGGAAGTTGTGGCAACAGGCTATGGGGGGTGCCAAGCCAGACGACGACCACGAAACCATCGAACAAACAACTCAAGCGCTCGGCACGGCCATCCAAGGGTGCAAGAACGAACGTGTCGAATGCTGGCGGAAGAGGCTCCAGGCAGACTGACCGTTGCAGCTTGGATCCGGAACGCAGTGAGCACCTATCACAACGTAGCGGTGCAGGACGACGCCAAGAGCGACCGCGACGACGACGACGACTCCGCGCCCACCAACTACTTTTCACAAGACGCGGTGGAAATAATACGAGACCACTACGAGCAGCACTTCGCGGAATGCGGACGTGGCAACGATGTGGACGAGTACTTCTACCACTACGGCGACTACATTGAGGAGGCACGCCAATATATTCAACGAGCACAGGAGCAGCACGACTACAGAGCACGACACGCCATGGCAGCCATTGGCTGCTGGGACCATTGGGCGCCACCCGCGGCATCGCAATTCCGCCACGTGTTGCACGGGGGCGCAGCAGCAGGGCCAGACCAATGGGCGCCCTCGGAGCTCGCGTGCCTCCCGGAGGAGGCACTGGAACAGCTGGTTGACCTCAGCACGCACTCTGAGTACCACGGATGGCCGACGCAACTCCTGCAGTGGCGCCAGGTCCACTTATCAAAAGACCCAGACACAGCACTCCCGAGCCTGACCCGACTACGCCCCATCGCAATCGCGAGCGCCGTGGTCCGCGCCTGGCACAGATGGAGGGCAGACCAACTGGCCACCTACCTCAGCCCAGCTTTCCTGCCCGCGCAGGGGGGCGGACTCAAGGGGCGAACCCTCGAATCCCTCATCGAGCCATGCTTCTCGCTCGTTGAGGAGACCATCGCGGCGAACAGGTACGACGACGAGGACGGCTCGCTGACCGAGGAGGAGCAGCGGCTGGTTCGGAAGCGTCGAACGGAGCTGCACGTCAAGTCGTGCAATTATGCCTCCGCATTTGACAGGGCTTCCCCCCGGGTCGTCTGCGCGGTCTGGTCGCGACTCGGAGTGCCGTCCAGAATCACCAACAGTATCGAAGCGATCTGGACCCAGCAGGAGAGGTGGGTTGAGGTCGGCCCGCTCTTATCACCACGGACAATTCTGGTTGCAGACAGTTTGCTACAAGGGGATCCGGCAGCCATGCTCGGGATGGCCGCCCTGCTCATGGGGCCACTACGACGGCAAGCTGCAATGCGCCCACGAGCAACATTCTGCACCTTCGCGGACGACAGCACGGCGGCCACGACAGAGGCATACTAACTACGGAGCATCGAGGTGGAGTGGGAGCTGCTGGGGTCGGTCACCGCGCTGCGCACCAACGACAGCAAGACGCAGCCCTTCACGATACTACCGCACCAATGTGACAACCACCATATGCAGAGCAAGAAGATGAAATGCCTTGGAACCGACTTCGCGATGCAACGCACGACGCTCACGACCCGAGAGCGAGGCAAGCTTGAGGGGGCACTTGCGCGCATGAAGCGGATTCCGTGCCTGCCCCTGAGCATGCGGCTGCGCGCGACCGCGGTGAGCGCCATCGCGTTGCCGTTGTCGAGCTGGGCACTAGTGGTGGCGCCGCCGACGCAGGGAGCTATCCAGGACCATCTACAACAAGCGCGAAAGGCTGTGTCCCTGCGGAAATGGCCCCAGGCAGCTCCCGAACTACTCCGACTAGTAGTAATTGGGCACAGCACCGACCTACGGTGCCACTTGTGCCGGCGAGCATTACGACTTCTGAGCTGCAGACTACGTCGACAGGGGCCTGGGGCACTTGCGCTTTGGGACAAGATCACGATCAACGCCGACGCGCGGGGGCCACTCAACGCCTACCGAGCACGCATGGCATCGCTTGGAGCAGAGCGCAGCGACGACGGCTTCTGGAGAGGCCCGGCGGGAGAGCGTCGACTCACCGACAGAGCAGACCGATAGCTCCACGAGCGACGACTTATACTCCAATCAGACGAATGGGCAATCCTACAGGGCCAGAGCCGGCGGGAGAGCCCCATGGCGGCTGGAGCGCCCTTGCCAGCTGCTGCCGCGCGCGCGGCACAGGAATCGCGGAAAGCTCACCCAATCCTCGCCTGACACATCGCTGCCGTTCTCTGCGGTTGCGTGGTCGGGCGCCCTGCTGCAGTCCAACCGAGGCGAGGGGGTCTCGACCACCTGCGACCACTGCGGAGAGCAGCACGTCCCGACGCTCGACCACGTGTACTGGGTGTGCACAGCCAACGTCGACCTCCGGCAGGGTATCGCGATACCAACGGCTGACCTCACCCGCCGGCTTGGCTGGCCGACAGAGGACCTCGCCAGGAGGACCGCGACCAGATGGACAAAAATGGTGTTGGCTATGGCGAGCATGCGGCAGCGTGCGCTGTACCGGCACAAGAAACCACGGGTGCCCAATTCTTCCGTCCATGGTTCATAACCGTTCTCAATGGTTATTATTTGCGTGAAATGTGTCATCAATTGGTTTATGTTGTACTTTAGTTCTTCTTAGGGCTG